GCGCAGAAAGTCAGATGAACAAACGAACACAGGGACAAGCTTAAATGCATTGCAAATTCGAAACTGACGAAGAATTTATATGCTTTACGGGGGGGGTCTTTGAAACTTGTTTCTGCCCTTTATAAAGGTATTGAAAACAAAATTAATTGCTGATATACTATAATATTTGGTAGGCGTGGTCAATTTTTTCTATTTTTGTCCATAAATGCTACGGCATTGCCCATAGAATACGTGTTCAAATTTTTGTGCATTTATTTGCTTTAGTTTATGGGTAATGAGCAAAAAAGCAATTTGAAAAACAGAGATGTTCTCAGTTTGCATCGTGCTGTGGGCGTGTTCTTTCCAATGTCAACTTGCATGCAAGAATTTCCAATGTTTCCGCTAAATTTTAAGTCGATTGGTTCCTTTTTGCGGCCAAGAGAATGATTAGAGCAAATATTACACAGACGGACAGACGGACAGACGGATATAGTTAAATCGATTTCCAATTTAATACTGATCAAGAATATGTATATGCTTTGTGGGATCCTTAAAGTTATCTCTGAGCTTCTTTTGATAATATAAACATACTCCTCATCCAGCGGTATCTAGTATAAAAACAAACACATACTCCGTGACCCTACACTATTGCACAGAAATGGGACAAGCATCAGCGTAAAAAGGTATCTGACCTGTTCAATTCTGATCAGAAATGTTAGCGAAAGTTAGATATCCCTTTTTTGCACTCTATACTACTTATGTACATATGTATGTATATTAAGTTAATGCGGACAGATGTTTGCAATTTCAACAACAACATCTTTAGATACATTCGTCTGCGTGTTGTTTCGATGTCTGCCCGTTTACCTTTCTATTGATTTTGATAAAATTTACGAAGAAATTTTCGCTAAAATATAAATTCAAGTAAATATATACATTAAAGCGAGCGAGCGAGCGAGCAGCTCTCATTTACGGCCAATTCCATAATAAAACCTTATGTTTAAAAATTCGCGTTACGTGAAAAAAAAAAAAACTCAATCTCTAATATTTCTCGTTAACGTGCAGTTAAAAGACGATGCAAAAAGCATCTAACTGTTTCGCCCAAGTAGTAAAACTATGTAGAATTTAGAATCTTATCTGCCACGCGCCAGGAATCGAGCCTGGGACTTCCGGTTGTTTGCCGGACGTCCTAATCACTAGATCACACGGCAGACAATCATAGATGAACTAATTCCTTCTAAATTTTAAAAGTGAATGGATGAGACAAAATAATTTCATACCCGTAGAAATAACTAAAGCTCCTCTAAAAAGAAAAAAAGAAAAAAAAAACCTTTTGTATAAAGTAAAGATTACGATTGCACTCAACAACATCGAAATAAGAAAAGAATTTTGTGTTTGTTAGTTTTATGTAATTTAAAAGTGGTATACCGCGTACAATTGGTATTCGAACCCGCATATTCAATAGTATTTGAAGGATTTTTTTTTTTTTTCATGGTATAGCATATATATTATTAACATATATATATATATATAGAGAGAGAGAGAGAGAAAACAAACGAATTTGTCTGTTGCGCTTTTGCTTTTCTATGCTTTACTTAAGATCAAAGAAACCTTTGGAATGTTGTTTAGTACATGAATGTTTTTGTTTCGAATGTTTTAAGATTTTTCAAAATATATAAATAATATCGCCTAAGGTAAGATTTTAAAGTAAGATATATTTAAATTTATCGCATATTTCTTTATGCCAATCCTCGAAGATTGAGGATATATTAAATTCGGTAAAACGTTTGCAACGTCAAAAAGGAGATTTCACAGATCTCGGAAAGCATGTATATAATATTCCCCGATCAGCATTAAAATTATTCGAATCGATTTAACCATATCCGTCCATCTATCTATATAATGTTTGTCGTAAGCGTTCTTCTACGCGCAAAAGGCAAGCTCTCACCTTCAAATTTTCTAAGTTTACGCACGCATGTTGTTATTTCAAACGGCCCAAATTTGTGAAAGGCAGCACCCGCAGTACAACGTCACCCTAAATCATTTCCATTTTTTGCATCTATCTATTATTATACAATATTCGTCCAGCGCTTAGAAGGATTTCATTTTTGATTAGTATCTGGGAAGCGTGTCTCTCCGCCTGGCAGTGTCCCTGAATTTGTATGAAAAACATACTCCTGATCGCAAATGTGAAGATATTGTCTTCAGATTTGCCAAAAAACACTGCAGGTTACTACAAGCAAATTGGTTTCGAAAATTGACGAAACCAGTCGAAAAGTACGCTCACGGTAAAATATAAATCGATATCATTTCTGTTGTTTGAAGGTGATAAGCCTTCAGGGTTTCTTGCTCATAAGTCGTATCCTAAATTAAATAAAGAAAATAAAAAG